ACCGTACAGCCTTGGCATACAACTCAGTTAGCCACCCTGTCACCTCCACAGGCTTCACGTGTCACGCTTTGCGTTTTATTGCAATATATAAGACAGCAAAAGACAGGCATTTTGGCCTTGCGGAGCTGGAATGCACTCTTCCAGATGATGGTCGCTGCTGTTTACAGTGAGGCATTGAAGCTCTGCCGTTTTGTCACGGTCCGGCTCGTCATGATTGAAGAGGATGTACTGCCGGGTGGCGGATGGACAACCAGATTCGATGTCTTAGCCTTCTTTGTCAGCACTAATGATAGACTGCTCGAACCCGCTGCCAGAGTACATGTTTAAAGAGCAGGAACAAATGGAAACGTACCTGGATGCTTCAGGTTCTCAGTTTGAGGACATCCCTGCCCGTGACAGGGTGCCGCAGCTGGATAGGAGTTAAACACCCTCAGTGCTGCCTGACGTACAGGTTTGGAGGGAAAATCGTAAGTCTACTTTCTGTCGGTGAGGTTTTAATGCGACGGGCGTGAAATGTACTTTGACGTCCAACGTCTTCACAGTCTGTTGGAGCAGGAGCAGGGATAATGCCCCTTACTGGACGCCAGCTGCTGGAGGACTGAGCTCAGAGTCAGAGACAAACGGGGGGAGAGGAGTCACAAGTCTGGTATGAGCGCTGGGGGGGAGGCAGCCCCCGGAAAGGAGGTCGGAAGTATTTGGGGCTACTCTGCGAACCCATCATACCTGTAGCTTTAAGATAACTGCTTTGGCCTGGGATGGAGCACCCAGAGATTGCAATAATGCAGCACTGCTCGTCTTTTTTACTTTGGTTTTCGAAGCCCCCGATGGCTCTTGTAGCCTGTGGTCGCAGGAAACCACATCCACTAAATCTGGCTCAGCACACCAGTTCCCGGTTTCGGATATTTTCGCTGCAGCGGATGCGGTCGGTCAGCTGACCGTAATTCTGCACTCCGAAGCCGTAGAAACTTCTGTGGGACGGAACGTGCTGGGAAGGTTATCCGTCTGATATCCTGTGGACCACTCAGAAACAGCAAGAAACAGTCTGACCCACCGATGTTTGCCCCGATGACATCACTGGGAAGGCTATGGGGTACAGAGGATGCTGGGAGGCCACGTGTGAATCACAGGCCTGACAAAACACAAGATAGCACCGCTCTCTGTGTATGGACATCTTGATTTTGCAGTGTTTGTTGTGTCCCTTGGTCAACAAGGGAGGTGTTTGCCTTTTACTTCTTCACCCAATTACAGTCTTCATCATATGACATCACTGCATTGGTCGATTTTTTTCTAATTTTCAAAGTTAAGGCTTCCAACCATCCAGCAACCAGTACCGGAGCAATGTATGGCTCAGTGGGGCCATCAAGACAGCAGGCAAGGGGTGGTGTGGGGCTCCACAGGCTAAGCCTCTGTGTTTGTGATCACAAGGTTGCTGTTTCAAGTCTTATTCCGATTACGATTGTGAAATAAAGCCACACCCTCACACTGCTCCGTACAGCTGTTGCAAGTAAGTATATTCCTGTTTTGTCTATGACATGTCCCATATAGAATAAAATAGGTACTTTAGAAATCTGTGCTCCTTCTTGCTTAAAAGAAGATACCAGTTTTAATTCATGCAGTGATGTCATATGACAAAGACTGTGATTGGTTAAAGGAGTGAAACACAAGCCCATCCCTTGTTGACCCAGGGACACATCAAACTCAGCAGAATCAGGATGTGCCTCTGTGTACATCTGCTTATGAAGTAGATCAATGTCTACAATACTCTGGGGGGCCTGTTTTCCCACATGGTACAAGGACTCAACAGCAATTCATGACAACATCACATGTGTGTGAGACATCATCCCACAGTTCATCAACTATTGCCTTGGAGAAAAGACCTTGTGAAAACTCATTGGGTTCCTTGGAGTTGCATGATTAGAACATTCCCAGCACTATTCGGACTCATTATCTTACAACCAAGATTGGGGTTGGTCTGTGTTGTGTCCATCTTGTTACTCTAGGGTACAAAAGAGGTCTCTTGACTCATCTTTTGACTGTCTAAGAAATACCAAATCGGTGCATCTCTTCACTAAATTAAGAACATAAAATGAAGAATGCACAGAGATGGACGGATGCCTGGAATTCAAGGTGAAACCACAAGGTGGTGTGCTGGAGATGAGTACAGGACCCACCACACGGGCGAGAAATCCTGTCACATGGCAGCTACCTTAGTGTCTTCGCTGTAAAGGGGGAGGTAGATCTTACCTCAGCATCTCTTGGCAGCATGAAGGGATCCGAACACTAGTAGCTGCTTTGCTCTCAGAGGAAGGTTTCATCTATTTTACGCTTTAATATGCCAGCACGAGGTTTCGTTTCCGTGTTAAGGAGCCCTGCGTGTACGTTTTTCATGTAGTTCCTGCAGTGACTTCCTACATAATCACCACTTAATGAGGTTCTGTTTAATTGCTATAGCTGGCAATGGGGAGACGATAGTCAGTGTCAATCAAACACACATACAAAAAAGGTGCATGGGTTCACATGGATACACAATCACACACACACGCCATCAACCCACCATGGATACATAACCACACACACACGCCGTCAACCCAGCATGGATACACAATCACACACACACGCCATCAACCCACCATGGATACATAACCACACACACACGCCGTCAAC